ACAGGGCTAGATGCTGCTCTCTGCCAGCCAGCATGAAGGCACACTCTACCAGGAGCATTTTCAGCTTCCTGGGCAGCTATGAGATGGGTTCCGCTGGAGGTGATAGGTGCTGCAGAGTCCTGGGCCCCGCAGAGCACATTTACCCGATGCTAAAATGTTGTAGTGGACACGCCCATTTCCCCTCACCTCATCTTGCCACTGATTGACCTTTGACCACCTGAGGTCAAAGCCCCCTCCTCTCACAGACTGAACTCTTTCCAGCTCTCATGTAGAGCTATTAAAAATTAAGCCTTTTCACTGTCCACTTTTCTCTGGGAAAGTTTGTGTTCTCAAGGATCTGTTATTTTGATGATAAAACAAGTCAAAACAAATGTTCTGTTTGATTTTGCTGTTCCTCTCACATGGATAATTCAAATGCATAAACCCTTTAAAATGTTTGACTGTGTCTTTAATTTTTCAAGGGCTCTATAGTAATATTTACATTATAATTTTGCATTTTGTATGATATTTAGAAATGTTTAGAAATGATGATTTAGTATTGACAGATTATGTAACAACCAATGCTTATACTTTAATTTTTTTACATTTTCTGCTTTTAATAAACATTACTTAAATGATAATTAGTTTAATAATAGTAATTCATAATTAATCATTAGTTAATTGCAATATTAGTTTAATGTTTCTCTGAAGAGTTGAGTTAGTCTGCTCATAATATCTGTGTGTTCTTCTGATGTCCTTGGGCCTTCACACACAAATATACACACACGGGGTTCTCATGGGAGCTCTGACCACCTGCAGAACACACACACACACACACACACACACACACACACACACACACACACACACACACACACACACACACACACACACACACAGCCGACCTGTGCAGCAGGATCCTCAGTGTGAACATGTGGTAAACATCCAGCAGCATGTCGGACACAGTTGCCTCTGGAGCATCTGTCAGGTAGTGGATGGGCATCGGCTTCCATCTTCCCACTTTAATAAGGCCTGCAGAACACACACACACACACACACACACACACACACACTTTCTGATTCATTAAAACTGGCTCTTTTCTTGCTATTCGTAGTAGTCTTGCTGTTCTCTGCTTTCCCCAAGCAGGGCATTGGGCGACTTGCCAGCTCTTTATAGTTCCTTCAATAGGAACTTTTAAATGCTTCTCTCGCAGCATAATTTCTCTTTTTACAAGGAAATAACTTTTTATAAGGACTTTGTCATTTTGGTGAAACACCATTTTTGTGTGTCAGGCTTCCGTGCCTGAAACCACATTCGGCTGTGAGCTGCTCCTCAAAGCTTCCTGGTCAACCTGCCGCTTTGCCTAAAGACCGAGTCCATGAGAAGGCCTCTTCCCCTTTGGCTGACAGAGAGAGTTAAGGTGTGTGTCATTCACCAGGCATTCTCCTCAAGAAGTTCTCTGTCCACTTGCCTCGCTGGAAGTGCTGGTCCTGATAACGGTAACGGCTGAAAGCTGGCTCTTTTGTCCCAGGCCATAAGCTCACGTCAAATACATAATTTAGCCTTAAAAAGAAAAACCTACAGAACCTTAAAAGATCTATTTGTGTCTATTTGTCTGTCTCTCTCTCTGCTCTCCCACTTACTCTCTCTCTCTCTCTGCTCTCCCACCAAAATCAAACACGCACCCACACACACACACACACACACATTGACCCTTTGTACATAAATTAATCTGCTTTTGCTTAGATAAATTGTTAGACAAATTGCTTAAAGGGGACCTATTACGCAAAATTCACTTTTTAAAGTTTTTTTTTCCTCAACTTTGGGTATGTACTTCTTAAAAAACATCCTAAGTCCAAAAAAATGCACCCAGGGGCATATTTACTGTAAGTAAATGTATTTTTAATGTATATTAATGACAAGTTTTATACTTCCGTCCTTTTGTGATGTCACAAACCGTACGACAACCCACCAGAACCTGCGTTCAGCCCCTTACCTAGCAACCCCCGGGTGAAACTCCACCTCCTCAGTATAAATGTTATGATTCTGTCTCTGTCTGTCTGCTCTTGACCCAGTTCTTGCTCCTGTCTGCCTCTGCCCCTCCCATC